TTATCTTCCTCAGAAACAGAATTCTGCGTACCTGTACTCATTTCTCAAGCTTTTTCTGATAAGAAGGATGGAAGACAAAAAGTACATTCCCATGATCTCGGATAGGAAAAGCACAACATTGCTTGAAGACCCACTTCCCACTCTCGAGACTGCAAAGAAAAACTGTACCATACACAAACTCCATCTCATTAACCGAAACTGCAGCATTCGAACTAAGGAAAATTTAGAATATCCTTAGTTATGTTTCCATCTTATTAAAAACATTCATTCGTTTATCAGCTTGGGTTTGAAATAAGAAGGGATTTTGAAATAAAGCTACTTCAACAACAATATTTATGCAACTAAATCATTACGTCCACGAATTTTCGTTTGCTCAAACTAATATGTGAACCCGGTAACAATTATCACCAGTTTAAAATGTGAAAAGATTCAACTACTATGAAAAATGAATCCCTCTAAGAATTGTCTTGATTAAATAGTGGGGAGATAAAATTGAAATACATCAAGGACTGGTGAGCAATCATTTGAATGTGTTTTTCCACAAATTCGAAGGATCCAGAAGTGTCTTGGTTGCATAGATGACAGTATAGAGACACACAAAAAATAACCGAGAAACTAGAATTATAATTCACCTTCATCAAATTTGTCAAGAACCCCCTCACAGAAATCACAATCAACATCCCAATAAACAACAGGGAAATATACTGCAAATAAGAAAGAAAGAAACAGAATTAGAGCAAAGTTGCATAATCCAGATGCAGAGAATTCGAAAAGCCAGCATATATTTCACATTTTTATAATAAATAGTCAGGCCATATAACTAGCCCTAAGAAAGCTCTGATCTATTGAACCAGCTAAGATTGCATCCAACAATGGCCCAGAGAAAGTGAGTTAGAAGTGCTCTAGAAATGCTTTAGGATTTCTATTCGGGAAAGAAAAACATTGTAAAGAAGAAGAAAAGTCCAGATCAGATTTTTCTAGCTTAATTGATCCATTATCAGAGACAGCAAACACAAAGTAATGCAAACCTGTGAGAGCAATGCAGCATCTACTCCTATGTCAAACCACCGCAAGAATATGCTGATCATCATCGTGACAGGATCTTTTGTACCGGCCTGTAAACAAAATGATTATTAGCAAGTTCAAGTAGAAAGAGGCACACATAATGATTTATTAAAGGACGGTACAAATAATGCATAATTGACCAAAAAAACAAAAAATGAAAACATGTGGGTACCTCCTTGAAGACAACACTTTGTAGAGACTGCAAAAAAAACAGAACAAAAACAAAAATTGGAGAAACTAATGTTACTTGTTCACAGTTACAATAGGGAGATAACTTTTAACAAGGGACATAGAAAACAATTTATCTAGTAAGGCATAGGTGTCCTGAGAAAAACTATGTCCAAACCAGACAACATGAAGGGTTTTACAGAGAGATAGCTAGATGAACAATATGAGTGATTTTGTTGCAGAATTAATCGTTTTTTTGGAAATCAGGAAGAATTGTCCAAATCTAATCATGAACTGATCTCCCAAGAAAATAAGGCTTTGAAAGGTAACAAAGAGAGGAACAGAAATAAGGGCAGAATAAGAGGAATCATTAAAAGATTGGATGGAACATTTTGGGCGTATGATTATATTATATATTTACAAGCGTTCTTAAATTTTGAAAAGGGTTCTTTTTTAGTTACGAAAAGAAAGTGATGATTAGAGATAAAACTATTCTATTGCAAATATTATTCTTGAAAAAATGGCAAAATTGTAGAGATCATTGAGGAATGATTCAGCCATCTATTTTCCAATCCTGTAAAAATGACACCATTCAAACCTAAAAGTTACCCATATGAATACTGACACTCTTTTTAAGGAGGGTAAACAACTCAAAGAACAATAACGCAAATTCTTGAATTTGATCCATGACGCAAATATCTATTAACCAAAGTAGCATTGATCACAAGAGCTATTTTCATACCCATGCTAAACAGTTTAAAATCTCTTGCAATTGATACAAGGATAGGGTAGAGCTAAAATATTAAAAGTTAGAAACTCCTTAGAGAGATACAGAAAATTACCTTCAACATTTTATACACACAATAAATTGAACATGCATAACCAAGTAAGTTCTGCACATGACCCCTCCAAGTTCTGGAAAAAGCAGCAGCATCCTGCAAATGAGATGGAGTCAGAGCAAATGCTTTCAAAATATTACAACCAAAGAAGACCATCGGAAGCAGTAATCTTAAGAACAGAAATCTCAACCCAAGTAAGGTGTCCCCATCAAGTCAGTGAATAGAATTCTGTAGTGAATCAAAACGAAATCAGTTGAAGCTAACCTTTGCTTGACGGAGCTCATATATTTCCAAAAATAACTGCTTTGACAGCTCCTCTAAGCCTTCCACCTCCGCCTCCATTATTTTTATGTCTTCTCAAGGAAAATTTATCAAAACACTGGGGAGGAGGAAGTGTGTGCAGCACAACTGAAACTAAAAACAAAGCACATAAACTAACCTTGCTCCTTTTGGTCATCTTGAACCGACCGCACAACAGTCCCAACAATTCTTCTAAAGAAAGAGCTACCTTTCTGATTCTGGGAAAAAAAGTTAGCATCAAATGATTACCTCCCAAACTCGTCAGCTTAAAATAAAGGCATATTGTTTTTAAGGAAAAAAAAATTGGATAACAGAGCATGAATCATGTTAATCTAATCTCTAAGATATTAGATAGAAGTTTGAGATAAGAGCAATGAAACTAACAAACAAGAATTTTTAGGTACCCACTAAAAATAAAACGTGCAGCTGAGTAGGGAACCAAGATCATGGGTTCTTTCGTCAAGACCGAAAAAAATCTCGTTTCCTCAAGAGTCAAGATGGAAAAACCTCTCCTGTATTGAATAAGTAGACCATTGTATTGGTTCCATTTACAGCACAATTCTCGTATCAGTCTCTTTTAATACAAAAAATCCTCTCTCGTCACTTGCTAACTAGTGCCAAGAAAGGTGTCGGTATACAATCATTTTATAAGAACTATGACACATGAACAGAAAGGTAAAGTATAAAAAAACTAGACAGTATAATCATACACAGTATGCTAGAAGATAAAATGAAAACAAACCTCTTCTGATCCTTGACTTCGTTCCACTTCTAATTGACACAAAATAATTTTCTTCTTCTTTGCTATGCACGTCTCAGTTGACTGCATCAGTTGCCTTTCCAAAGATATTATATCTGCTTCTTCAATCTCCCTATATGTGAGAGAAGCACAAAAATGCTGTTAAAAAGCAATGTCTTCTATATAAAGTCAATCCAGTGGATTCCCTGTCAGTCTAGACCAACATACATCACAGAAATGACAAGGCTCTGGAGATATCTCCTAAAAATATCCCAAATGAACATCCACAACACCGTTTGTTTCATTAACAATCAAATTATGGAATACAAGTTCCCATGTTGTGCAGTTCCTTAGCATATTTCCCCACATAAACTCTGCATTTTTTCTTTCCTAATTTTTTTCTCTTTCTTCATTCCACTTTTTGTTTGTTTCTCTCTTGGAAGGACATGCAGGTGGCAGTATATATACACGCACTGCTACTTATTTGTGCTTAATTCAGCCCATTAGATGGTGCCGCTAAAGGAAAACACTCTATTGGTTGTTAAATATGAACTACAAAAAAATAAGGGAATTTTGTGACTCTTCTATTTCAAAATCTGCGTTTTGTACTCTAGATACAAAGTACGGAAAGGTGTCTCTAACTTCTCCCCAAGGACCTACCCCCAGCCTCGAGTGGCTAGGTGGGGAAGTAAAATTAATCCTTGTTAAAACAAAAAACAGTATATAGCAGCCTTACGAAAGAGTTGGAATAACAGTACCTAATGAAGAGGGATATATAGCTGTAGGGCAAATTTACAGCTCCAAATCCTGATAAGACAGCCATTAAGGTCACACCAATGACCCCAATTCTACTGACCAGCTGAGGCATGGTAAAAAAACCTTCAAAGAAATAGGATCTTTAAGTCAAGAAGTTCAACAGACGACAAAAAGATCATAAGTAATCAGAATACATAAATGAGAATGTTTGAAGGTATTTTCCAGTCAGGTAACATTAGACACAGTCATCTAGCTCTCACTATCGTTTCATGGCAAACAGCGTACCCTCTAACTACATATTCAGAATTCCATGTTATTGATAACAATGGATAAATATATGCCAACATAATTGCCGCTTACAGTGATTACAACATCACTCAAACCATCTAAAGCGGTTAATTGATATTCACAATACATTAAATTCTGTGTTAAGAATATCAAAACACTAGCTCGAAAAATTAATATAACATGGTCATTCTACAATGCCATATTCATCTATAGCAGACAAAATAGGTCTAACACGGATACCAAGCTTAGTTATGGAAGTTCACAGCAAGTGATAAATGGAACAGAAACTAGTACAGGAAAATGAATGGAGTAGCAACATAACAATGCATAACGAGATACCTTTATCTTGTGAAGGCATAGGAAAATGAACTCCCATACGCCAGAAAGCGTAAAGGAATGCTGTCAAGAATAACACAGCCCCAGCAGAGGCACGCTCCCTTCTTACACCTGAAGTGTTCGTTTTGGTTACAAATTAGAGACAGTCAGCACAGAATGCTGTGACAAGTGGCAGCAAACTGGTAGTCTATGATTTAATAAGGAAAAGAAGAAAGAAAAAGGCAGTAAAGTGATCCTTTCTCATATGAATTTATCTCCATGTAACTGAACTCAAGAGTGTTTGTAAATAAAGCAACACAAGAAATCATAAATAAGGGTCGCCAAACACTGTTTCTCTAAGGGAATCCCAGTTGAGTAGCATAAATGTTAAAACGCTTTCAGGAAGTCGTGAGAAACTTGCAATGACACATTAACGAATTATAATAACGATTACCTCCCAAACAAGATGTATGAGATAAAAGAAAATTCAGAGATGGAATAAGGCTTACCACTATTGCGAAGCATCAAATAGCAATGGTAGTAAGGCAACATGAAAACCAGAAGCAGTATCAAACAAAAGAGATCCACCTTCCAGTTCACCATCCTTGCCCTGCAAAATAAGGGAAAAGATTGATCCATGGCTTCCAAACTGAACAATTGCCACATACGGTCAAGTAATGGAACAATGTCGAAAGCAAATGGAAGAGAAAAACTTGCTCTCTAGAGAGAAGAGGTATGATCTCGAAGAGAACTAGCTGCAATAGGTTACAAGAGAAGGCGAAGACGATGCTGAAAATGATTTGAACCAAGGCTCGCTTCTCCTCGTACTCCTTGTATAGGCGTCTGTTAAGGAACCATAGACCTGCCNATCCTAAGAGACACAGTGATGCCATCACCACCGTGCCTTCGTAGATTACCAATCCGTAACCCATCGCCAGTCCAGATCTCGATCGAAAGAAGAAAAAAACTCAGATCCGTCTCTCTAAATTCTCCATGAGATTGGACTTGTTCGTTCTTTGGATTCAGTTCCTACGTTAAAGAGAAAAAAACGCATCATCTACGAAACAAGTAAGTAAATAATTGGGATAAAAACGAAAGGTATTTAAGAATACCTCAATTGGTCAAATTAGGGTTTAGGGTTTCATTATCATCATCACCACCGTGTGACTCGAACTCGCAGGAAGGAAAGCGTTAAGTAACACTTGCAATCCATTGAGCAACAGAGTAGTGGTCAGACAAGTTGCTCAGTAGTGATAGTTATTAATGGTAAATTCGATTTGATCTTT